AACATTTAAAAAAAATCTACAATGATTTTAAATGATTTTTAAAAAGGCTTAGGAGAGAGAAGGGGAAGTGGTAGAAGGGAACAGAAAGGGAAAGCTAAGAAGGGTCAGATTGGGGAAATCAGAGAATACTCTAGAAGGCCTATAAGGATGTATAACTGGGTCAGGCCATTGGAGAGGAATAACTTCACAGAGAAGAGGCAAAAGATAATGTGTTTAAATACATGGTCCTGTGGCAAGGCAAAAAGCTATACGGTGGAGCCTTGGGTCGCGACTCTGTTCCCGGGCTCCAGTCACAACCCGATTTGGTTGTGTCCGGAAGCACAACCGTTAAAAAAATGGCGCCGTAGGGGAAATCAGTGCAGAAAGGGAATCTTTCAATTTTGTTCGCCACCCAATGTTTGAATCATGACCCGATTTGGTCACGAACAGCAGCGTTCGCAACCCAAAGTTCCACTGTATATGCTTGCATGATATACTTTGCTTCCTTCTGCTTTTTTAAGTGCAAGCTTTGTTGGTTCTCTTTTGAGTTTGGGCAAGAATGTTGCATACTTGAAATGATTTGCAGTTTTTGCCTGTGTTGCACTTTGGCTATCAAGGGCAGTGCCATTTGAGAAGCATATGGCACTCTAGGCAATGTTGATTAATGCTGCTACTTCTCACTGATATAAAGATTTGTATTTTTAGAATGATTCAGAAGGAGAGGTAGAGTTGACACCCACTCAGTTTTGAAGCCCTATACCAATGCCTAAAGCTGGCCCTGAATCAGGCAATATTTTTAATGTTGCTAATTAGGTTAACTTGATCGTGTATTTGACTAAAGTAAAAAATATACAAAGGCACCCTGACCTATTTTTAAGATGATACACTGACAGGGTTATGGAAGCTATGAAGATGATACATAACTCCTCTGTAATGATGAAAAACTGCCACATGCTTATACAGATATGGATACAGGAATCATGGACATAGGTAAATTTATCCTGAAGAATAAAATGATTTCTCATTGATACTTTTACAGAATCTGTTATCCGTAAATAAATCTTTCCCTAATTTACTCAGTGTAGTTTATCATATATTTGCTCTGTTTCTGCCTATTTTTATTATATAGCAATAAATATAACATTACTTGATATTTCATTTATAGTATCTAATCTAATGTTTTTGTCTTTTTATAGCATCATTTCCTTTTCCCAGTCTTATGTTGGTTGAAAGTTATTACTTTCACGGTTATTGCTATTAGATAATTAAGGTATATATTACATATTTATTATGCAGGGTGAAGATTATTGCTTCTTTTGAATACTGAAAAAACATGTATATCTTTTGTATACTGTAAGTTTGAAAGAAATGTAAACGTAATGTCGTTCTTCCCTTAAAAACAGTGGGTGACATGTTTATGTCTTAGCTTTGTGGAAGATGGAAAAATTCTTTGTAGTGGTTATTGCTTGTGTGTCTGAACTGAGACCTTGTAAAGATCCTCACCCAGACTATTTATTTTATCTAACTTTTAAACTAAAATAAGGATCCTACACTGGTAATATATTTCTATTTATACATAAGAAAATAGCTGTATGTGTAGCATTTTTGTCAGGCCATAGAAAGCTGTAATTCCAAATTCTAAAACTTCTAAAAGTTCAAATTCTAAAAGTCTAAAACTTCAAATACTAAAAGTCTAAAACTTCAAATTCTAAAAGTCAAAATGGTGCTGAAATGATCTTTTCAGATTCCTATATTTTCACATATAGATTATTCAGAAATTATTGTCCGATACGTTCCACTATATTTTGTCCTTGAATCGCTCTTAGCTGCTCAGACAAAACTAAGAAGAATTTGTGTATTAAGTTCTACCAATTCAAACTGAAAGTAATGCTGTCACAAAAATGAATTAAAATTCTTCTTGAAAAATGTAAAAGAGAAGTGTTCTAGTTTGTCTGGTTTTCTAATATCTAATTATCTGTATATTCCCTAGGTTCGGTATATTTATTCTGCAGTGGTAGAAGCAAGGGAACAGCTTGACCTCTTTAATATAATCTAGACTTCTCTTACTAATAGCATGTGCCTATCTCCTAGATTGGAAAGTTTCTTGCTGTTTCTGTTTCACTCAATGCTTCACTCCTTTGCTCTATGTTGAGAAGATTATGGCAAGCTTAGGATTCCCCCCTCCCTTCTTTATTGTTATGCCTCAATCCATTTACCCCAATTCTTTTCTCTCTTCTGTTGCTCTAATCTGGGAACTATTCTTCTGAAGCATTGCCAGGTCAGTAAGTGTATACTGTAAACTAAAAGAGGGTCAGAACTTATGTCTCCTGACCTTTATCCTAAAAGGGTATCAGGTGTGATACCTCTCTAAAGAATCTTGCTGGTAATCTCTTGTTGAGTGGGAGTGTCTGCTACAAACATTTCCTCCCAGTCTACCTTTCAATGGTACTTCACAGTACACTGAAAATTATCAGGCACAGTTAATTATTGGCCTCATGGAACAACCCACCCACTTTGATTCAGGCAAGCTTTTCCCAATATTTAAGAAGGTTATTTAGCAAGGGTACAGTATAATTACAGAAAATAGTTTGGGTTAGTTAACATTTTTATGTTGTGTATGTTTGGTTTACAAGTCTAAAAGCACCTTCAGGTTCAAACTTTAAATGGCTTAGCATATGAGCAGAATTTTAACTGCTGAATGTCAGGAATCAAGATTTGCCTGTTAGAACTCTGGAAGAATTGTATCACTGAAACTCATCAATAAAGGAACTTGTGATAGGAAGCCACTATATTTAGAGCTAGGGTGGTCAATTAATTTTCCTAAAGGGTCACATGAGAAAACTGGGACCAAACCAATAGGGCTGTGAAGGTGCATAGGCCCACATTCATGCACATATGTAATTTTTTTTTTAAATAGCAGTTGCCTCCAAAATAAAAGCAATGCAGTTGTATTGCATGCATGTCATACATTTATTTATATTTGACTTCTAATTTCTGATTGACCTCACATGGGTTGGACAGGAGCAGCCAAAGGGATGGATGGATGTGACCCAGAGTCAGGGGTGGGATCTGACCGGTATAACGACCGGTTCGGTGATTTTACCAGTTTTGTGAAATAAAGGTCAGGTAAGAGCCCAGGCAGACGGGTGGGCCAAAACAGCAGCAGACATAGAACCGGTTCTATGTATGTTCTCTGTCTGCTGCTCTTCAGAACTACCAGTTCTACAGAGGTGGACAGAACTGGTCCCCCACCCCTGCCCGGAGTCCATAAAATGCCCAAGTCTGATTTAGAGTGAACATTTTCTTACACATACATACACTGATTCCCAAGCCTACTTCATAGCTGTATCTAATCATCTGTATCTAAATATATTCTGTATTATAAATAAATATTGAGGGCCAGGACAAAATACAAAGATTATACTGCTAAAGGGAGGAAGAATCAAAATGCTCTGGCTCTAATCAGTTTTTTTTCTAGTAATTCATAATATTATACTGTTCCCAGCCAGAGCAGCTTACTAGAAAAAGTTATACTGTACGTACAGCTGCTTTTGAAAAATTGAAAACTTCAAGCAACACAAAACGGAGCTCCCTTGATATTGATGGAGTTGATTAGTTCCTCAGAGGTCTTATATTAATTTTAAACCTTGACTGTTCATTGGTGTCTGAATTTCCTGCAGATGGCCTTTAAAGGCTATGTAATTTCAGTGCCAAATACTTGAAGGTTTGCTTTTTCACATTTGTGTTTAACTGTAAATTTAGCTTTTTCTCAGAGGACCTGATGATTTGCCCAATTTATTTTAAAGATAGTGGACGGTTGCATACGATCTTCTCAGAAATAACACCAAGTTATTCCTGAGAATACACCAAGTTCTTATGGAACTCCTGCCTTGGCCATCTTCCTCACCATCTTAGTCAGGTTAGAGAAGTCTACAAAAATTTGGATCTACAATACATGGATTTCTGGTCAATGTGTGTTGCTTTTCTAACTTTCTAAAACAAGAACATATACAAGCCCAGAATTACTAAAACACTAGAATTATATGTCCTGTTATAGAATATTATGCACTTTTGTTTGTTTATTTACTAGATTTACCTCAGGTGTTGCTCCAAGAGATCAAGGCAGCATATTGGGGGTGAGGGGATCTCCTTTAATTTGTCCTGGTCCAATACCTTAATTAGTATACTGCACTCACTTCTTGTGACTGATTATGTTTTTCAAATTCTTCTGAGATCTCATTTTTTAAGTTATATTAAAAAGAATAATTGAAACAAATTATTCTGGAATAGCTAGAGTTTCTGAATGGCTAGTAGCAATGTATGTGAAAGACTTTGACTATGTACAGCCTCTAGATCAGGGGTGTCAAACTCAAGGCCCGGGGACTTAATCTGGCCCCCAGGATGGCCTGGAAGGCCACTCTGGAAACAGAGAAGGACCGGCTCATGGTGCCTCTGCCAGTGAAAACAGAGCTCGGGAGGGCTGCATGAGCTCCATTTTTGCTGGCAGAGGGTTGTAGGAGACCGTCGCAGCCAGAAATGGAGCTCGGGAACCCATTTTTGCTGGAAGAGTGCTCAGGCCACCACAAGCACCCCAACACAAGTGATGTTGAATTGGTCACACCCACCTTGGCCACACCCACCCTGGCCCCCCAAGGTCAAACACAATGCTGATGTGGCCTTCAATGAAATTGAGTTTGACACCCCTGCTCTACATTGTTGAACAGAACCAGTGAGAAAGATCTGTTATGTCACGTCCTATTCACAGGTTCCTTAGAGGTACATGGTTGTTTACTACTGAATTCGGGACACTGAAGTATTACATACCTTCTTAGATTTGACTCCAAGGCACTGTTACCTATGATTCCATTTTACTACAGTTACATTTATCTCTCAGAAAACCTCCGTAACTTTTTCTATTCTCTGTGCTGCTGAAATGAAACATAGTGCCATCTGTTGTAAAATGGTACTTTTTTCCATTGTTTAAAATGAAACACCTTTTTTCTGTTTCTGCTGTTTCATAGGAAAAATTGCTTGCTATGCAACAAGAGAGAGAAGCTGCTATTCATCAATATAAAAGTCTAGAAGAAGAACTGCAGACTCTTCGTATTTATTACAGGTAATGCCATTTCTATTTTTTTAAAAAAAAATTAAATGTATATGCTATCCATCTTGCTATCCAAAACGACTCTGGGCAGTTTACAGTACAATTAAGTACAATTGTAAATGTGGGAAAATAATTATTATTTTCACATTTAGGAATAACATTATTCCTAAAAATTACAAATATGCAAAGCAAAAATGAATTAATATTCCAGAATTCCAGTCTACACCCATTTTTCCTTTTAATGTCATTTCAGCCTGATAAAGCTGTACCCACTATTTAGTCCCATGCATTGTTCTTTGGCTTGAAATCTATATGGATGGCTTGTTTCCAGCCTATTGAGCCGTGGTGGCGCAGTGGTTAGAATGCAGTACGGCAGGCTACTTCTGTTGCCTGCTGCCTGCCTGCAATTTGGCAGTTCAAATCTCACCAGGCTCAAGGTTGACTCAGCCTTCCATCCTTCTGAGATCGGCAAAATGATTGTTGGGGGAAATTTGCTGACTCTGTAAACCACTTAGAGAGGGCTGTAAAGCGTAAGTCTACGTGCTATTGGTATTTCTATTGCTATTATATTCCAAATACCGGTGAAAAAGTGTCAAAGAGCAGGAAGCATTTCTGATACAACATAATTTCTTGGACTGGAGGTTAGTTTCAGGGCACCACTGGTTTGCAGATCTTAGGTTGAAGATTGCCAATGTCAGTGGCATCAGGGCTGTTACTTACATACCAATATAGCAGATTCAAATATCTTCTTCTTTTTAGTATTCAAATTATCTCTGCTTATGTCTACTGCTTAAGGTTAGGATCATAAGAAAAACAAGAAAGAAAATACATTTTCATTTTCTTACCCAGAAAACTTTTTGCAAAGTCATAAAGAACCTACAACGTTTTACCCCACAGTTACATTGGGATATATAGCTTGCCTCTGAAATATAGTTAATTAAATCAATAATGGGTTTCTTGAATGTTAGCTTCTAGCCTAATAAGTTGTGCTGAACTTGTTTAGGCTCACTATTACACACACACACACACACATACACACACACGCCTGGCTTGTTATCCATTCTAGTTCAAACCTTGGTCTATTTTGCTGGGATATTGGCTGAGACTCTAGTTGACTTAAATGTTTCTAAGTAATATGCAATATACACTGCTCAAAAAAATAAAGGGAACACTTAAACAACACAATGTAACTCCAAGTCAATCACACTTCTGTGAAATCAAACTGTCCACTTAGGTGGCAACACTGATTGACAATCAATTTCACATGCTGTTGTGCAAATGGAATAGACAACAGGTAGAAAGCATAGACAGTTAGCAAGACATCCCCAATAAAGGAGTGGTTCTGCAGGTGGTGACCACAGACCACTTCTCAGTTCCTATGCTTTCTGGTTGATGGTGTGGTCACTTTTGAATGCTGGCGGCGCTTTTACTCTAGTGGTAGCATGAGACAGAGTCTACAACCTACACAAGTGGCTCAGGTAGTGCAGCTCATCCAGGATGGCACATCAATGCAAGCTGTGGCAAGAAGGTTTGCTGTGTCTGTCAACGTAGTGTCCAGAGCATGGAGGTGCTACCAGGAGACAGGCCAGTACATCAGGAGATGTGGAGGAGGCCATAGGAGGGCAACAACACAGCATCAGGACCGCTACCTCCGCCTTTGTGCAAGGAGGGACATGAGAAGCACTGCCAGAGCCCTGCAAAATGACTTCCAGCGGGCCACAAATGTGCATGTGGCTGCTCAAATGGTCAGAAACAGATTCCATGAGGGTGGTAGGAGGGCCCGACATCCACAGGTGGGGGTTGGGCTTACAGCCCAACACCGTGCAGGATGTTTGGCATTTTCCAGAGAACACCAAGATTGACACATTCGCCACTGGAACCCTGTGGTCTTTACAGATGAAAGCAGGTTCACACTGAGCAAATATGACAGACATGACAGGGTCTGGAGACGCCGTGGAGAATGTTCTGCTGCCTGTAACATCCTCCAGCATGACCGGTTTGGCAGTGGGTCAGTAATGGTGTGGGGTGGCATTTCTTTAGGGGGCCGTACAGCCCTCCATGTGCTCACCAGAGGTAGCCTGACTGCCATTAGGTACCGAGATGAGATCCTCAGACCCCTTGTGAGATCATATGCTGGTGCGGTTGGTCCTGGGTTCCTCCTAATGCAAGAGAAAGCTAGACCTCATGTGGCTGGAGTGTGTTAGCAGTCCTGCAAGACGAAGGCATTGATGCTATGGACTGGCCCACCCATTCCCCAGACCTGAATCCAATTGAGCACATCTGGGACATCATGTCTTGCTCTATCTCACCAATGCCACGTTGCACAGACTGTCCAGGAGTTGAGCATGCCCAGGCATTGTAGGGAGGTCATAAAGGCACGTGGAGGCCACACACACTACTGAGTCTCATTTTGACTTGTTTTAAGGACATTACATCAAAGTTGGATCAGCCTGTAGTTTTTTTTCCACTTTAATTTTGAGTGTAACTCCAAATCCAGACCTCCATGGGTTGCTAAATTTGATTTCCATTGATAATTTTTGTGTGATTTTGTTGTCAGCACATTCAACTATGTAATGAACAAAGTATTTAATAAGAATATTTCATTCATTCAGATCTAGGATATCTTATTTTTGTGTTCCCTTTATTTTTTTGAGCAGTGTAGTAATAACAGCTAAGATTTTAATTCACCATCATTGGTATCTTACAATTAAAGAAAGGCTTCCAAATAGATGGCATCTTGCTTTGATTACAAATAGTTTGCAATTAATATGTTGGTTTACAGGCAATGGACACAGACATAAACTATAACCATAAACCATTCTTTATTCTAGCTTAAATCTATTCATATATTTCAGAAAGTGCTTTTTAAAATGTTTGGCATGTTTAAAGAATCCAAAAAAAATCATCGATTTGAAATGGCCCACTTAAGCCATTTGGTCCAACTCTCTGTTCAACTGGAATACAAACTATAGTCTTGTGACAGACAGCTGTTCAGTCTCTTCCAAGTGATTCTAATGTTGAGCTGTTCTTATTTGTTGTAATGAACTTTTCCATGACTCAACTGGAATTTGCCTCCCTGTAATATAAGCTTATAATTCCGTGTGCTACACTTTGGGACAATAAATAACAGGACCTGGCCTTTCTGTATGTGACATCCTTAAGCTACATCTTTGAGCCCTATTTGCACATAATATGCAGGTGTATGGGACAGGTTTTTCAGCCCAATTTGGCATCAGCGGGAATTATTCTGGGGCAGCTGCCAGAGACAGAATGCCATTACTACCTTCCTTAGGAACTCTATTTTTTTAAACATGATTTTTTTCAAAAAGAGTGTATGATATTCATACAGCTGTGGTCTGTGAACTGTCCTTTGAAGTCCCTTCATCATTTCAGAATGGCAGTACTACACCATTCAACTCTTAACAAAATGCTGTTTCTGTTAGAATAATAATTCGAATCATTATTGCATTAATCACTTAAATTTTTGTGATAGACTTTGCCAAACGTTAAAGCATAGTATATACATCAAAGCTTAAAATATACAAATCATCTTTTAATACTTTTCAAATGTATATTTTTAATATCAGTTTCTTCATTATCATTATCTTCATTATTTTATTTAATGAAGATTCATGGGGCTAGATTACAGTTTTAGGGAAAATGCAGTAAATTATGCAAATATTATATTATGGAAAACACAAATTAAGACAGGCAGTATTTGCTTGTTCTGTAATCCAGCCCTTGTCAAACAACTTCAAAATTGCCAATAGAAAACAAGAAGAAGGTAAAGTATAGATATATTCTTCTCTGTCTGTCCACTGACCCAATGAAACTTGCTACCATGAAGAACATTTTGACAATTTATGACGGAAAACTCAAGAATATGTTATTCTAAATTTAAATTCAATTATTATTTAAAAAATAAGATTTCTAAAAAAACCTAAAACAATCTATTTTGTTTAAGAAGGAAAGAAGTAGGATGGAAAAGTACAAAAATGGGGCTGTCCCAATTCTGTGAAAAATTGAGTCTTAGTGAAATGTATTCTGTTTATTATTAGTCATGAAAAGTTTTTATTAACCTGATCTACGAGGACTATTCTTAAAACAATAATTTGCATAACTGTCATAAACTATATATTGCCAGTTAAAATATTCTAATTTTCTAACTGCTGTATTTTCTTGGCAATGATTAATGCTAATAATAAAAACTGGATAGGCAGGTAAATTGTAATCCTTCTTCCTGTCAAAGGGAACACAAAAAATGGAAGAAAAAATCATAAAAATATGGCAAAAATAATATATATTGTAGACTTTTTAAAAAGAATGATTAATCCCAAAGAATATAGGAATTATTACTATTTTTATCTAAGCTATACAAAGCCTTTGAAAGAGGTATTTTGCAATGCACAGGAGAACGTAAGAAGCATCTCTTTTTGGATTATTAAAGCAGCCATGTCTTTTACAAGGCTCATGCAGTTGCTTTGGAAGCTGTTCTGTGTGCATGTGAGAAATCAGGACATCTTTGCTTTAACAATGATTTAATAATTCATTGTTTTAATATACCAGTGCCTTAACAAGTTGAAAATAGGTGCTTTATGTGTGTCCTTCTTTTTTCAAAGACTTTGCATTCTTGTGTCTGTTAATGTCAGGCCCACTAAGTAGTCCAGCCATGTAGTTAATTTCATAGGAAGGCTAAAACTACTTTTAAGATTGGCTGTAAGAACAGAATCTGATTTGGCTATACTTTCCCCTGCTTCCTAGTCCAGTGAATTAGGGAGGTGTCTGTTTGAGCTATTTTAGAACATTATCTCAACAGTCTAGACTTTAAAAATAATGTAATGAAATTGAAATGACCACATACACAAGTCTCAGCAAGTTGCTCATTTAATTTACCAACCAGTTCTCTGGATCTATCCAGTCTTCTGTGCCATGCCCCTTTTCTTTACAACTTATTGATGCAGTCTCAGAAAATACCTGTTCACAGACTTCTTGACTACTTAATTTTCAAAGTG